GTATTTCATCTACTGTTCATCCAAATAAGCAGCCAAGAAGAACGAAGACGCTGTAGGCGGGGTTTGTGCACCTTGTGGATCCTGACTCACAACCATTGGTCGGTTCATATGTGTATTCTTGGTTTGCTGAGAATCAGGTTTTTCATCAACTCTCCAAGGTGAACAGTCTGTTTGTAGCTCAGCTGTTGGTTTTTTGATGTACTCACCTCGGGAGGAACACACTGGCTTGTGGTGAAAACGAGCCTATTTGGTACGCCTGGTCGTATAAGAGCTTTTCACGAGGGGCACGGGATCGGTACTAGCTTTAGTCTATTCTAGTAGAGACTCTAACTTAATTTTTGCTTTCAGTACATGTTATTTACCTTGGCAGTAAAAACAGTTTTTTCTCGTCGTTATCTTTGTCACATTTTCCCTCCATTATCCATATAATTGTATTTTTTATCACGTTTTTTAACACTCTTCATCTACCTCATCTTCACACACGCACACACGATATATCCCATAGGTTGGCTCCAAGTCGGCAACATAGACTTCGACTGGATGCTATTGTTGTTTTATCCGAACGTCCTGGATTTCCCGGCCAATTGCTTATCGGCTACAGCTCCGGTTTAAGTCTGATTTATGATCTGCGTGCTGATCGTGTGGTTGTGTTGTTGCCCTGGAAGCACGGACTGGAAGCCGCTGCATGGTGTGGTGGCAACGGGTTACCACACCGGTCATCTAACACAGCAACACCTATTCATTTGGGGACACGATTATTGACAGCTCATTCTGATGGTTCTCTCGGCGTGTGGAATCTACGCGATGCTGGATTCTCCGGAGTCACTTCATCTCCAGCTGCTGAACCGCCCATGCTGAACATGGAAGAGCCTCCCACCAGACCCTATGGTATGTTCTCTCCTTTGCAGATATTTGCACTTCCGGTTTTGATTTACTTTGTTTCTATTGTACTCACGGTAATTGAACTAAGAACACAAAATTGCTGGCAAATACACAAAGTATTCAGACCTAAACCATCGTGCTTGTTCAATGCCTAAATTAGTGGATTTTTGGAGCAGAAAACTGCCCAAGGTGTGGTCTACCAGCGAGTCGAAGTTTTGAGTCGGAATACGGGGTGTGGGTGAAAAATGTCTTGTACGATGTGTGGAGTCGTTTTTATCCTGCTAGCGAAATGGAGAAAGGTAAACGTTAGGAGGGTAAGTTTCATTAGTTTGCAGAAACCTAGACATCGTTAAGTAATCGTTCAGCAGGGTAAAATGTAAC